AAATGCTCTGAAGATCCTCTGTGGGGAATTTTTCCCCCTCACATAATAAGGCTGAATGCAAAGCCCTGTTTTATGCCCTGTAGCAGACTTTTTTTTTTTTTTAAATGCCCACTCTGTTTTTGCTACTTCCAAGTCTCCGCCTGGGATCCGCAGCTTGTGGGATGAGGATCAAGCGTGTGGTGAGAATCGGGCTACCGTTCTTAATGCTCTAGAGATGAGATTTCTTATGAAACCTGGCAGCTTTTTTGTTCTTCTTCTGCCTTTTTAAACACACAGCCAGGTCTCTCTGTTTAGCTGCGCCCGCTGTGGTCCTGACGGTACCAGGGCTAAATTTATGCTGCTGACAACTCCCATTGAAGTATCTCCGTGGCACGGTCGGTGGGAGTGGTGCGTCTGTGAGCACGGGCAGCCCCTGGCCCGCTGAGTGTAATAGCAGATCTGCCTGGGGAGATTATGGGTATGATATAGGCAGTGTGTAAAGGAGAGGGCAGTTTGTGTACACGTTTCCAATGACTTGCTACACCCACTTAGGAGGGCCTGCTGTCAAAAATGTTAGGACAGTACACACACGACAACCACAGATCATGTTACCGGTGGCCCCTACTCCCACAGCAAGGCTCCTCCCAGGTCTCGCAGTAGGTAATTGCTCCAGGCTACCTATTGAACACACACAAAGGAGAAAACACCGGTGAGTTCTATTCTTTGAGCTCGACTATATGAATATAGAGAGAGGAAAAAATAAATTAGCATGGCCGGAAGTTCAAAGGGAGTTACGTGTGAAAGATAGCTTGGCAAGATGGAAATTTTCAATCCAATGAGAACTGGATTTAACACATGGAGTTGAACCAAGAGACCAGTCGCGTTGCCATACACTTACATCAAAACTTACCTGGATGGTGTCACTTTTGTTGTTAATGGAAAGATAGGAAGAGAGCCTCTCACACAGCGCATAATGTTGAAGACATTTTTGTAGCAGGCCAGCAGGTGGCATGGAGGTTAAGGTGGCTGGGTCCCGTATGACTGACTCGGCGGTTCAAGTCCTAGACCTGGTGGCTTGAAAGCCATGCCAGGTACATGTGCATGTGTGCACAAAATCCCAAGAGGAGAATGGAGGAAAAGGGATTGTGGCATGGCCATCTCCTGGCAGGAGAGGAGGTGATTTCTCATTTTCCACCTTTCTCTATCTCTCTCTGTCTCAGGCAAGCACACATACCCTACAACAAAACAAAAATTTTCTTTTTAGGAGAGATTCTTGCTATAGGGTATGTGTGCTCACCAGAGAGACAGAAAGAGACAGAGAGACAGAAAAAGACAGAAAGACAGAAAGCAAGAAATCACCCCCCAGGGGGGATGGCCATGCCGCGTCCCTTGCTCCCCTCCTCTCCTCTTGGGATCTTGGGCACGCACGCACACGCACCTGGCACAAGTGTCCAGGTCCAGGACTTGAACTGCAGCAGACTACATGGGAGTCCAGCAACATAACCATTACACCATCTGCTGGTTCCCCCAAAAAGATTTTAACATACATATTTTAAATGAGTCTGCGTATAGCCTGGGAATCAGCAAAAGTTTAAACAAAATGAAAATCTAAGTAACACTAGTGTTCTTTGTTTAAGCTCTCGTTTTAAAATTTTTTTAACTTTCTTTCTTTCTCTCTCTTTCTTCCTTCCTTCTCTTCTCTTTCCTTCCTCCCTTTCCTTCCTCCCTTCCTCCCTCCCTCCCTCCCTCCCTCCCCCCCTTCTTTCTTTCTTTCTTTCTTTCTTTCTTTCTTTTCTTTCTTTCTTTCTTTCTTTCTTTCTTTCTTTCTTTCTTTCTTTCTTTCTTTCCTTCTTTCTTTCTATTATTTTATCAGAGAGAAACAGAGAGAGCAAGAGGGAAAGTGGGAAAGCAAGCACCAGGTCCAGGACTCAAACCATAGTTGGCCATGTGGGACTCTAACTATCTTAACCACCACACCACCTGCCAATCCTGTAAGCTCCTTTTTATACTACAAATAGACAGCATCCACTCTCCGACTAGTTTATACACAAACTACGTGAAACGTGTCCTCTTTTTCAAGTCGAGTGATTTTCTGGTCTTCCACGTTAAGTGGACCGATGACGGATTAGCATGAAGACACTGATGCTGTTACCGTTCACAGAAAGATTAACAGCCAATAACCTCCCTGGAGATGGTCTGATTTTGAATGTAAACAACTTCTCTTTCCATGGTTAAGACCTCTTCTTTATCATACTACCAAAGATCTGTGAGCATTAGAAACCATAGCACCAATGGGACCTGCAGTTTACTAACTGAATTCCCATATGGCTGACTGTGGTTCAAGTCCCGGACCTGGTGACTTGAGGATCATGCCAGGCATGTGTGTGTGTGCATGCCCAAAATCCCAAGAGGTAAATGGAGAAGGGATTGTGGCATGGCCATTCCCTCAGGGTGGGGGGGGGTGATTTCTCACTTTCCCTCTCTCTGTCTCTGTCTCCACCAACCACATGTGCCCTATGACAAAAATATAAAAGAAAAAAAAAAAACCATTGCATTGATTATATTATCTGCGTACACACAATTTCAAGAACATTATGGTAACTCATTTATTCATATTCTCAATACTGTGGTATTGAGATATATTCTAGACATAGTTCTAGATCCCCATCCTTAGGGATTTTTTTAAAAAGAATCATTTACTTTTCATTTATTTACTCACTTATGGGTTTTTTTTTTTTTTAATTTGACCAGAAAGGAAGAGAGAAAATGAGAAAGCAAGCCACCAGGTCTGGGACTCAAACCATGTTTGGCCATGTGGGAGTGTCCAGTGCCTTAACCACCATGCCACCTGGTGGTGTTTCTGAACCCAAAACTTGACCACAGTAAATCCTACTGTAGAATTGAATCTTTTTTTTTTTTTTAAGAATTACATATCTAATTTTATTTATTTATTTTTTAATTTGTTCTAGGGCAGGTGCACTCATCAGAGAGAGACAGAGAGAGGAAAAGAGAGATGAAGCAAGCCACCAGGTCCAGGACTCTAATGGTGGTTGGCCATGTGAGAGACCAGCACTTTAACTACCGCACCATTTGCTGGCCTCTGAATTCCCCCATCCTTAGGGATCGTATCTTGATTTTTTTTAAGCTTTTTAATAAATAATACAAGCTTTGTTCCAGGCTCTAGTCTAAGCACCTTACCTGTATTAACTCACTTAATCATCAAAACAACCAAGTGTACTGTCTATGCTCTGACTTCCAATTCGCAGGTGAGGAAACCGAAGTGCCAGTAGATTAATTGATGTGCCCATGGCCACAACCTTGGTCTACTGGCAGACCAGGGTTTAAACCCAGATACAGCTAGTTTAGAGACCCCGCTGTTAACCTCTATTTAGGAGCTAATTCAAGAAATAAACATGCAAGTATTTTCAACATAATCAGTAGTGACAGTGAAGACCCCAGAAGCTCCAGAAACCTTGGCGTCTGCAACATTTAGTGCAATTGTAAGGAAAAACTATGTATATATTTTTTTTAATGTTAGGCAATTTGTAAAGGAACAGAAAAGAGAGACATACTCGGGAAGCTACCAAAAGCCAAAACCAAATGAAATTTAATGGGGATACACATGAGACAGCCTTAAATGCAATAAATCCCCTCTACAATCCCCACATGATTGAGATCGGACTTCAGGGTATGGGGCTCCTCCCTAACGAAGGGCTTCATTTGAAGTCAGTTTCATTACAGGATGGAGACAATCCATGTTGGTCACGTAAACTTCTGAGTATTTTTATACATTTCAAAACATGCCTTCTTTTTTTTTTTTAAGAGTTTTTTGCTACAGGGCATGTGAGCTCACCAGAAAGATAGATAGAGACAGAGAGACAGAAAGCAAGAAATCACTCCCTAGGGGGGATGGCCACGCCACAATCCCTTCTCCTCCATTTTCCTCTCGGGATCTTGGGCACGCACGCACACACACACCCAGCTTGAAATTTAAGCCACCGGGTCCGGGACTCAAACTACAGTCGACTACATGGGAGTCTAGCGACGTAGCCATTATGCCAACTGCTGGTCCTTCATTTCAGAACATGTCTTAAGAAACTGGCAAGCCCAGGTCAATTCAAGAAAACAAGGCCTCTTGTTCCCATAACATCTGGGGAACTGGAAAATTTAGCCAGTAAAACAAAAAGCAGTAGATCAAGGACTATGAAGATTATCTTCAGGGCTGGCAGGTGGCATGGTGGTTAAGGGTGCTGGTCTCCAATATGACCAACCATGGTTTGAGTCCCGGACATGGCAAACTTGCTTTCTCAATTTTCCTCCCCCTCTTGTCTCACTCTCTCTCACTCTGTCCCTCTCTGGTCAAATTAAAACGGATAAAGTTAAATAAAATAATTCTTTAAAAACAAAGTTATCTTCTAGTGTTTGGAGGTCTGTTAAATGGTAAAGGGATGAAATTCAGTTATAGCTCCTGGGGACAGAATCAGACCCAAAGGAAATGTTCCGGAGACACTGATGTTTGCTCCCATACAATAAAGAGAACTTTCTTTTTTTTAACTTTTTTTTTTTTTTAGAATTATTTATTTTTATTTTACTTCTTTAAATTTTGCTGTAGAGCACATGCACTCACCAGAGTGAGACAGAGAGAGAGAGAGAAAGTGAGAAAGCAAGCTGCCAGATTGGGGACTCAAACTGCGGTCAGATACGTGGGAGTCCAGTGCCTTACTCACCATGCCACCTGTTGGCCCCAAAAGAAAACTTTCTCTTATTTTTAAATGATTTGATTTAACTTTATTTATTTATTTTAATTTTATTAGAGAGAGAAAGTGAGAAAGCAAGCCACCAGGTCCCACTGCCCCCAGCCATGTGGGAGTCCAGTGCCCTTAACCATCATGCCACCTGCTGGCCCCAGAGAACTTTCTAAAAACAAAGTTCCCCAATGGTCATAGTCTTGGGAGAGTAAGCCCTCCTCCTCCAGCTCTCTAGGCAGTCAGGACCAATTGGACCACCCACATCTGGGTTACCTGCTGTGAATTTGCAGGTTCTGAAGGCGGCTCAGTCTACATCTGCTGGACCATCTGCCCATCTCCAAATCTCTGGGTTCCTTGGGAAGTTGAACCAGTGCCCTCCAATCTTCCTCCCCAGGGTAGGATTCTTGATTCCATTACGGGCCCTGAATTGCAAAACAAAACAAAACAAAACAAAACAAAATTTTAAGCAGATTATCTCTGGTTTATACATGAAGAAATATCATAGTGCTAAGGAGCCATCCAGAATCAGAGGCAGACAATGACTCCCTTCTCAACACCTGCTTTCTACTCACATTTAAATAACAGCATCTAGGGGCCAGCAGGTGGCATGATGGTTAAGACACTGGACTCCCACATGGCTGACCATGGTTCAAGTCCCAGACCCAGTAGCTTGAAACTCATGCTGGGCCCATGTGCATGCATGCCCAAAATCCTGAGAGGAGAATGGAGGAGGAGGGATTGCAGCATGGCTATATTGTCTGGGGGGGCGATTTCTCACTTTTCCTCTCTCTGTCTCTCTCTGGCCAGTGTACGCACCTTATGGCAAAAACCTTAAAAAAATTAATTAACTAATAAATAATAATAATAATAAGTGCTTCTACACAGGCAACCTTTGCACTGCTACAGAGCAACTTATCCTAACCTCATTCTAGAAAATTGGTCTGGTCCCCAGTGGCCCCTGTGTCATTTAGGTGAGACCTTACTATCAACCCTCAGTTAATTTGTGAGCTCATTGTTAATGTCAGGAAGCTCTGACATTAACGTGCAGAAAATAGTCCATTGTTGAGATAAACCAGGGTCAGAGAATTTCAAAATGAAATAAAGTTGATTTTTTTGACCCGTGTTGATCAGAAAATAAGGGTGTCGACATGTGAAGGGTCTGGAATGGCATCATCTACGAGTTGCCTTAGAACCTAGCTCTGTATCAAGTGCGTGATGGATGACTGGGTAAAGAGCGCCTTCCACGGAGCTGGCACGTGCCCTGGTGGTTAAGGCACTAGACTTCCACATGGTCGACCATGGTTCAAGTCCCAGACCTGGCAGCTTGCTTTCTCACTTTCTCTCTCTCTCACACACACACACTCTCACTTTCACGCTCTCCCTCTCTGGTCAAATTAAAATAAATAAATAAATAAAGTTGAATAAAATATTCTTTAAATAAATAAATGGCTACCCAGTGACAGACCTACTGAAAGAAGGACTCAGTCCCTGTGCATGGTTATCGCTAATTTGATGGCCTGATGTACTTAGCGTGGACCAGCAGATGGCATAGTAGTGAAGTTGCTGGACTCCCACATGGCTGACCACAGTTCAAGTCCCGGACTCAGCAGCTTGAAACTCATGCTGGGCAAGTGTGCATGCGTGCCCCAAATCCCAAGTGGAGAATGGAGGAGAAGGGATTACGGCATGGCCATCTCCCCCTGGGAATTGATTTCTCACTTTCTGTTTCTGTGTCTCTCTCTGTCTTTCTGGCAAACACGTACCCTATGGCAAAGATCTCTCTAGAAGAAAAAATAATAGTAATAGTTAAAACTCTGAATGCATATGCACTATGACTATAGGTAAAAATAATGGCTTGTTGGGGCCAGCAGATAGCATAGCAATTAAGTCATTGGACTCCCACATGGCTGATGCAGTTTGAGTCCTGGACCTGGTGACTTGAAACTCACATTGGGCACGTGTGCGTGCGTACCCAAGATCTCAGGAGGAGGATGGAGGAGAAGGGATTGCAGCATGGCCATTCCCTCTCAAAGGGGGTGATTTCTCACTTTCCCTCTCAGTGTCTCTGTCTCTCTCTCTCTGGTGAGTGCATGCACCCTAATGCAAAAATCTCTCAAAGATAAATGAATTCATTAAATAACAACTGGCGTTTTCAGTACCGTGGCATTTGCCTGGCCTGTGTTTCCATAACAGATACCGTTCATTTTTTCTCCTTGCCACTTGACCCCTGTGGTTATTTACCCCAGCCAAGATCAAGCCCTTAACATCAGGATTATGTTAAAAGCAGGATGAATATTTTCAAAAACTTCTAGAATTGACAAGGTTCCATAAAATGGGGCTGGTCCAACTCTGCAGAGAGAGAAACCTACATCTTGGTCTCAAACCATCCAAAAACTTCTGTTGACTTCAGAGTTTTGGCCAAATATTCTAGATGCCTCTCTCTCTCTCTCTCTCTTTTAAAAAAAGTATTTATTTAGTTTTACCCATGATTATTATTTTTATATTTTTTATTTCATCAGAGTAAAACAGAGCGAAAGAGGGAAAGTGAGAAACCAAGCCTCCTGGTCCAGGACTTGAAGTATGGTCAGCCATGTGGGAGTCCAGTGCCTTAACCACCACGCCACCTGCTGGTCCTGCCTCTCTCTTTTTAATTTTTCTCCCCCCCTCCATCCTCCATTATCTATATTTGCTACAGTCTATGTCCAGTCATTCTCAGCAGCACTGTTCTCATGATAATAACTCTACTATATACATTTATTACTATTAATCCACAATGTATTAAAAAAGGGAGTTAGGAGGCCAGCAGGTGGCATGATGATTAAGGTGCTGCAGGCTCCCACATGTTCGACCACAGTTCAAGTCCCAGACCTGGTGGCTTGCTTTCTCATTTTTGCTCTCTCTCTCTCTTTGTGTCTCTCTCTGGTCAAATTAAAATAACAGATTGAATAAATAAAATTAAATAAAATATTCTTTTTTGAAAAATGGAATTAAATTGGAGTGCTATGGTAATTAAGCAAAAGCTGGCAAGGAGCCTTTCTTTTCTTATTTTCTTTCCTTTTTTTTTTTTTTAATTTGCTGAGGGCAGGGTCGGCAGGTGGCATGGTGGTGAAGGACACTGGACTCTCACCTGGCCAATCTCAGTTCAATTTGCTATAGGGCATGTGTGTTCACTAGAGAAAAGAGAGAGATAGAAAAGGAAAATGAGAAATCTTCTCCCCAAAGAATAGTCACACTGCAAGCCCTTCTCCTCCATTCTCCTCTCAGGATTTTGGGCACGCACACACAGCTGGTGTGTCTCTCAAGTCACGGGTCCCAGGACTCCAGCTGCAGAGTCAGCCATGTGGGATCCAGCTGCCTTGAACACCACACCACTGACTGACCCCAGGAGCCATTTTTTTTTTTCTTGAGGAAGGTCTTTGCTATAGGAAGCATATGCTCTCTGGAGAGACAGAGAGAGAGAAAGTATGAAATCACCCCCTGGGGGGATGGCCACACCACAATCCCTTCTCCTCTGGGGATTTTGGGTACCCATGCACACGTACCCGGCATGAGTTTCAAGCCTCCAGGTCCAGAACTCAAACCATGGTCCGCCACGTGTGAGTCCAGTACCTTAACCACTACGCCACCTGCTGATGCTAGAGCCTTCATTTTCTAATTTGTTTTCCAAAATCATTTTGGAAGTATGGCAAGCTGAAAACCTACATCCTAATGCATCCTACACAATCAATTAGGCTGTTCTCTGAGTGATAACATCTACAGCTTCAGAGACCAGCAGGTGGCGTAGCAGATAAGGTACTGGACTCTCATACAGTCAACCACGGTTCGAGTCTCAGACTCATGCCAGCACATGTGCGTGCTTACCCTAAATCCTGAGAGGAGAATGCAGGAGAAGGGATTGCGGCATGACATCACCCCCACCAGGGGATCATTTCTCGCTTTCTGTCTCTCCTTCTCTGGTGAGCACGCTTACTTACCCTATAGCAAAAATCTAAAAAAAAAAAAAAAAAAAAAAAAAAAAACAC